CTCCCTCCAGAGCTTCTTATTTTTCTGGCCAGGAAGGCGACCGCCCGTCGCGCTCGATGTGCTCAAAATGAAATCAGTGAAATGGTGGAAATTAAAAAATAACGAGATAATTAAAAGCTACCCCCGCAGTTATTTGCGTGTGTGTCTCTTGGCTCACGTAGCGCTGCTTAAGTGGCGGCATTGAGACTGGATTCTCGGTGGGTGGTGCGGTGGTCTTGCCCTGCAATGCAGGTGGGTGGGTCATGGTAACCCCTAGGAACACACAAATGTACACCCACACACGGCCGGGACAGAATGAGCCGTTTTAATCCTGCATTTACTTTGTGCCACAATGCTCGTTCATGTTTAATGTCCTTTCATTTTGTGTTTGACTCGCAGCTGCTTTTGTTTTTGTTTTTTGATTTCCTGTTGTTTTCGTTTTTATCCTGCTCGGAATTGTGAGTCCTGACTTCAATTCAGATCGTGCTGTGCCAAAGATTCCTTGCCTTGCTTTATTTGATAATTGCTTTTTGAGGTTTTTGTCAGGTTTGCTGGCAGGCCTCTGAAAAACAAACTAATTAGGTAGGAGACAGGATTTCAAAATAAAATTTTAAATAAAATTAGACAATATGTGTGGCTCCCAATTTGATTTTAAAGCCATTCGGTGTGTGCCCAATTTGAGCTAATTTCCTAATCCGCGCAGATTTCTAGGTTACTGCGTTTGTATCTAAGCACACGAATTAGTACTGAATTTCGCTTTCACAAATTGAACAGCGAACTGATTAATGACAGCAAATGCATATTAATTAATGGAATTAGTGCTGATAAGGACTCTACAACATCGCGCTCAAAAAACTCAGAAAAACAAAATAAGACGACTTCAAGATTACTCTTTAAAGTTAGGCGAAAAATTAACTTAAGCTAACAGTTTTAGAAATGTACTTCAAAAAATACATATTAAATACTCCATGGAATATCACAATTTTAAAATAACATCTTGGAAAACGTTTACCTATTTAACATTCATCTATAATACAAATAAGAGCATATTTCTAGCTCTAGTAATATTTGTTGGGCAAATAATGCAATAATAGCGTGTAATTTAGTTTCATACTTATCCAGAAACGACAGTCTGGTAATTTACAGCCAGTAGTTATGGCACTACACGTGCATAATTTATATTGATGTGAGTTTAAACGCTTTAATTTTTATCATTTTTCGTTGCGAACTTCCGGCAGAAATTTGCCTTGCTGCGGCTAAAACGATGAAATAATAATAATAGATAATAATAATAATATTACGGCGGTACATGGCGGGATCTCTGGCGGGACATGGATGGACATGGCGGGATCTCTGGCGGGGACATGGCAGGATCTCTGGCGGGACATGGCGGGATCTCTGGCGGGACAAAGCGGAAAATGGATGGACATGGCGGGATCTCTGGCGGGACATGGATGGTCGTGGATGGACATGGCGGGCTGTAAGTAACGTTAAACAATGAAACTCCCTTCATTGTGTTATTCAATAGTGCCGCTCAAAGGCTTGTGATAAATTTTGAAATTTAAATCAGCTCGCATTGCTGTAAAGCGGCAATAACCTGCGGGCTCGCAAATAATAACCTTCTGCAGCCATGAAATCAACGAGCTGCGGCATTATTAAATGCAATTATTTTTAAACTTTTTGCGCCCACTTCACTCTGCAGTTTTTTATATGAATAGTGTTTAATGTAAACTGTTTAAACAGAGCATTTTACCGCTGCTGATGAAGTGGACTATCCGTGTCACTTCATTACGTCGCGGTGTAATTAGTCAGTTTGGCCCACAAAAAACCGTCACTGGCCGGCAATGAGACCAAGCGTTTGTTAATTAGCAAGCGCAAATACACACGTGCGTTTGCCAGGATGTGTGACATAAATCGAACTGACGGATGGCTCAACTGGGCCGTGAAAAGTGGGCTGACGACCAGGCCGTGGCGAGGGCGTGGCTACATTGGGAACCCAGCCCTGACATGCACATGGCCAAAATGCACAGCTCGACAAAACGTCAGCTAGCCGAGCATCCTTCTCCCCTCCCCCTTCTCTAGGTGCGGAAATGTGTTGAACTCTGCCATGTTGCGATACGGGGAAAATTGGGTCGCATTTCAAAATTTTTCGACTCCTGCTGTCCGCTGAAATGCAGGTCGACAGTGCTGAACGCAAGTTGGCCAGAAAGCCCATTAAGTCGTCAAAAACAAAGATTAAAAGGAATGCCGAAATAGGAGTGGGTGAAGTATCGCTGTTATTTTTCTTGTAGTAAATATATTAATATAATACTTCATCACATGTTAATTTGAAATTGTAGATCCTTCTCCTCTCTTTAAGTGTTTCTTTTAAGTTGCAGAAACATTTATAAAATGCTTTACGCGGTGAATCTAATCCGTTGTTTTCCATATGAAATAAAAATCGCGATTTTGTAAAAATATGTTCTGTTATTTTTAGGCCAAAAAATCGCTGTGCTGGCCAAAAAAATGACAACACAATCACGGTAGTCGGAAAAGTGCACAATTCGCATGAATGTCTGTGTCATAGTATGCGTATCTGTGTGACTTTGCGTTGACATTTCAACTTTGCTCCGACCAGGCTAATGCAATGAAAACTTCCAGTTTGCCTTAGTTTTTAGCTCTTTTCCGGTGCTCTTTGCGATTTTTCCCGGTGCCTTTAAGTCGAGACAAGCCAGATGAAGCCGAAATTGCAATTAGACGTACACAGTTCCATAATCGCAGTTCGACAAACTGTGGTCCGGCGAATCGACCAAGCGGATGGCTACAAATGTCCAGCTGCCGGCCATTCGCAATCAAAATTTATGCTGACTTCAAAGAGCTGATGTCGCAAAATAAAGCCTTGCATAGCCTAAGGCGCAGCGGTAATGCTTCAAAGGCTCACAACCAACTGCTGCAAGTGCCCCCAATATATTGCAGAAAATCGTTCTTAGTTTCCCTCAAATAAAACGAGTATTTGGTAGTTAAAAAGGCGTTCAGCAGTTCATAAAATCCACAAAGTAAATCACTTAGCATGAAGTACTTCAAAAACCGGTGTGCATGCTATGCCTAAAAAGTGTTTTAATATGGTTATTTAAATTTCAATCATTATTATGCTTATAAACATTTTTTAAGTGCAATATTTGCATATATGTATTAAGAAAATACCTTTTGCCTACTTATTTAATTCCATTTACGAATCACTTTAAGCTCGCATTATTTTAAGTAATAGATTATATTAAAAACTTTGCTTAATTGTTTTGTCAGTCCATCAGTCAAATTTTGTCGGGAAATTGCCTTTAAGGTCTGCAAACTGTTGGTTCATTGAATCTGAGGCAGCTTGAAGTTCTCCGATGCTCCAAAATAGCCCGACCTCGAGTTGCCTTTGCATTGTAAAAGTTTGCTCCTTTTTCGGGGTGCCCTGCCATTTTTATTTGAGTTTTCACTTACCTGGCCCTTAAGTGTTTCTTCTACCAGGCCATTTGCCATTTGTTTCGTCGATGTGAAAAGTTTTTGCGGGAGACTTGTGTGCGGGCTACTTTTATGATTATTGCCAGCCTGCCAGTCTGCCAGTCTGCCAGCTCAGCCTTGGCGAGAAAGTATCTGCTCTGTAAAGTATCTCGTATCTCGTATCCGTACCTCGCGTCTCGTATCTGTGCGCAGTGGGTCCACGGCATACTTAAGCCTTAATGTTAATTTTAAGCAGCTTGCCCATAAGCTTTTGATTTAAGGCAGCCACAAGGCCGCCTATACTCCCTATTTTTCTCCATTCTCGATTGGGCTCCGGATTCCTTGGCGTGCTGCCACACCACAAAGTACACACCCGACATGGACGTGGACATGGCAGAACAGTTGCCATTGCCACTGCAGCTGGAATTGCAATTGCAATTGCAATTGCCACCCCAATTCCAATCCCAATCCCCCTTCCTAACCAGCCACCCATGTGCAGCTGCTGCCGTGTGGAAGTGCACTTCACTTTGTCTAATTGTAAAATAAATAAATGAGATAAAAACGCAAAGTGGCAGGGGCGCGTAAAAAATGCAAGGGAAATGAAAAAGTGCGCTCAAGTTGCGTTCTTCCCAAGAACTGGATTCACTGGGAGAACAATATGCTTGATATTGTTTTAAATCTGGGCAAGAAAAAAGATTTGCAATTTATAAAAATCATCAGAAAAACAAGCGATTTATTTTAACAAAATGTTATTTTCTCTTTTTTTATTGCTTTATTTTTGTTAGTATACGGATCAAAACAGTACAAATAGAACGTGCCATTTTGAATGGAAATTATTAACTTTAATGATTTTTCAACAATAAACTAGGTGAGTCCCGAAATATGTGTTCATAGATCAATGTATCTCATAGATTTTTCTTAAAATTTGTCTCTCTAAGTATAACAAATAATAATAAATATATAAAATAATAATAAGACAAAACAATGTTTTTCGGCTTAAATATGCTGTTGCATTATTTTTAGCCCCAAGTATCTATGTTGTGTTCGAACCACTTGTTGTTTCTGGTGTATTTTTCTGCTGCTGCGTAGACTCACGAGTCCTGTAAGCGGAGTGCCGTGGGGAGGGCTGTCGAAAATAATAAATCAAAGTGACACATCGGGAATGCAAAGGCCGGGCCCAGTTCCCCAGTCTATTCCATCTTAGCCCCACCTGGCCATAAGATGAAGCGAGCGTAGCTTTCAATTTCAGCGCTCCACAACGCCAAGACTGGCGTTTGACAGACACAAGACGTTGCAGCAACAAGGAGTGCACCTTTGGAAAAAAATGCAAGAGAAATGGGAAAAGGGGAACATTATGTGGAAGGGGTGCAGACACTTTACTCTGCGGGTAGGGCTGGCATCCACATCAACCCTTTCGTCATTGTCAGACGAAGGCTGGCGAAGTTGTTCAAGTACTTTGCGGATAGAATAGCTTGCTGTCGCAATTTAGATAAATTTTAATTTTAATAAAGTGTTTGCGCTGCTCTTCTCGGCCACTAGAGCGGATACTCTCGGCATTATGAATTAATTATGGCAACAGTCATTCCCCGTCTTTGGTTGCGGAGTTTACCATTTCCGACGTCTGGCGGTTTTGACGGTTTCGGCGGTATCTCCTAGAAGAGTCCACCCACTTGGCCATGGCCTCCTCGAGTGGCTCCGTGATAACCTTAAAGCAGACTTCCCCCGGAAGTCCCGTCTTTCACGTCTCAAAGGTGGCCAGATCGCGCAGGGAAGTACCTGTGGTGGAGTCCTTTAATCCGTCCAGGATGAGCTCCTGCGGCGAGTTAATCGTGCGATCGAAGTAATATATGTGGGAGTAATATATGTTCGACTAGGGAAAACGTACATTTTGTGCTACTCAGTGGAATATTTAAAAATACAGTTACTTGTCAAGTCTCCAAAAATAATAATAAGTATACTTATATTCCAAGACAATTAAATAAGGATGAGTGTGGCCCATTCTATTTTTTATGGAATTCCTAAAATAGAAAAGGCAATATGTTAACTTTAAATAAGGTATTAAAACATCAAGCTATGCCTATAAAGTTTAAGCCAGCTTTTTTTTACACTTACCTTGTTAGGTTTATTAAAATGTTCCGAAAATGAGCTTTTAATGCGAGTTTTAATTATCTTTCCTTGTGACTCGAATCTATAATATCTCCTTGCCGATAAGTTGCTAACGCAATTCTTCTTTTTGCCAACGACGACAGCTCTTAACCCCTTGACGCCCCACACTTTCGCTTTTTTCCACACATGCCTCTGCACCCAGACGTTGCCTGTCAAATTAACGCCGCATTTTATGCGCCCCGTGGCTCTGACTTAACTTTTTTCGGCTTTCGTTTATACCGCTGCCTTCAGTGAAATTCAGTGAAATTGAAATTAAAGCAGCAGGCTATAGTGCGGCTTAACTGGCTACAAGCTTGGCGATTTACAGACTCAATAACACAACGGTGGCGAGTGCCAAAAGGTTCAAAAGGCGACCAAAACTTTCACATTTCTTTCTCCACTTCCCTCGGCGAACAATTTGAATGAAGCGCGCAAATTGAATAAAAGGCCATTGCCACAGTTCAAGCTGAAAAACTGCTGGCTGTGATAAAATCATCAGTTTCCATCCTGGATCCTGGCTCCTGGCTCGCCATCTTCATTTTTTTGTTCACTGCTGAAGTTTTTTACGGTTCAGTCTAGGTGGAATGAGCCGGATTGGGTATGCTGGTAATAAATTTTTATTGCCCGAACGAAATCAATGAAACGAGCCAAGGAGGAAGAATTGAGCTAGAGATGAAATCGCCAGGGCTTTTGTGCTTCTTAATTAAATAATTTTTTGCCTCGTATGGATTTGAAAATATGTATTCTTTGAAAGAGCTTTTGCAAATTTAGAAATCCGACAGCCGCCTCAGAATATTCATTTTATGTACAAATTTTTAATTGAAGAGGCACCCTCTTGTGAGCTTAGGCTTTTTAATTAAAATATATTAAAATTTTCCTGTTTAGCACCATTTGTTTATGTTTACTGCGTAACATATAAAATGCTATGGTTTCGTGTCGCTTTTACATTTTTGATACAAACTCAAAAGTCAAAACAGGCGAACAAAACAGCCACATTTCAATTGCCAAATTAAGAGTTGAAATGCTAAAAGCATTCAGGCTGGCATATTTTTATCAATTTGTCGATGCATTAGTGAGACATTCGTGAAGCTTAGAAAATCGCTTTGCTGTTGATTACCGACAATTATCCAATCAGCCACGTCTGAGTTTGATTTGCATAACCCGATCTCACCGAAGCATTCATATCGATATGCAGGCAGTATTAAATGCAATTTATGCAAATTTCTACCATCATTTGGTCTAAGCTAAAAATGGTCACTGCATGAAAGGGGCTCGGCCACAGTGGGAATTACATTAAATCAAAATTGAATGCATTCGGAAAACTCGAAAAGGATGGGCGAGTGTCTATGTGAATTGAATTTAATTTTATGCATTTGCTGTATCAACGCATAAATTATGATAAAAGGCATAAAATATGCACGCTGGGGTTCGAGTGAGCCAGAACGGAAGTCCGAGTAAATTATGCTGATGGCGGAGAGCGGAAATGCGAGGAATAGAATTGAATAAAAGCTATCTGTGGGATAGCCTTCGCTCATTCCCAATTTATGCTATCTAGCGCCATGTCAAAGATCCGCTCGACACAGATGCTCACTGAACTAGCCAGCGCAAATATTTATGGCCATCCCAAAGGCAGTAATGGCACGAACACTTTACGTAAATGTTTGCCAGCCACCTGTTCGCAGTTGTCAGCGCCCCTAAAATGCAGCAAAAAGGTGAAAAAGTGAAAAACAGAGCAGTTGCAGATTGTAGCAAAAAGCAGCTAATCCGACTGAGCGCCAATTTGGGGCACATGTAGACAGTTTGTCCAGTTGCCAGTGGCCAGTTGCCAGCATTCCGCTCCCCGTTTACCTTTGAAACTCATTTGGCGCAAAGCTGACAAGTCCTGGAAGGATTGGATAGTCGGGCGCTCGTCGTTCAATTAGCAGACGGTCGCAGGACATTCCCATGGCCGTCTGTCTTTTATTAATATGTCCCGGGCCTTTTGCCCTCCGCACAAATAGAAGAGGAAGTAGCCAAGCATGGCGACTATTAGATACCGTGTCGCTTCTAATAGCGAGCTCCAAACAAAGCATAGAAATTGATATATATATATTCATGTTTTACTGTATAAGAACTACAGCTCTCTTCAGATTATTATGTAGATTTTCCAACTATTTAATAAGGCACGAACCTCTTTTGCATACAATTTATTTCAACCTTTTTACCGACAAATGCCGAGCACAAAAAGAAGAACGTTGCAAGAAACCAAGGAGTGAGAGAAACGACAAGCGAAATGCAAACTAATTGAAAACACTTCAAAGGACATCAATATCAAAAGCATAGACGTGGACAGAGGGCAGAATAGAGATAGTCAACCCGTCCTTCAGTCATCCGGCAAATGTCAGCCGAACAAAGCGAAAAATTGTCTCCAGCCCGCAGAATGTACAAAAAAATGGACAGGACATCCTCAGGACGAACAGCAAGACTCGCCTCGACCAGACACAATCAAATCAGAGCTATGCCAAAATTAAAAATATTTCCACACAGAAGATCAGTCATTCATGCAACTTTCGGACCGCCTTTCTTCGACCCAAATTTGTAATGTAATATATAAACAGCGGGGGTCATGAAAATATTACTTTCTCTTGTAAAATGAAAATTCATTCGCTTAGTTATTTTGCGGTAAAGAAAATGACTTGTGAAACTCGTTAGCAACATTTCAACAAATCATGTGAAATAATTCCTATTCCCAATCATACGACTGCGACCACAGCTGTATGAACGAAGTTCGGCAGTTGTGCAAACGAACCTGTGTAGTTTTCATTTCAGGTGGTGGCCAGGCACGACCCCTGGCAACAATAAGTGGATAAAATCCTTTTCATTTTCCCTCAGTGTGTCCGGCTTTGCTACAAAATCAATTTACAACGGAAGCTTACTTACATAACCCCCCGAGACACATAATCCTGTTTATACGAGTGTGCCTATGTGTCTAGATGGTAACCGCCCACCCAATCGCCCAATGGCCGATGCATATTGGGGATGTCTCGGTTTGGTCCTGTGTGTCCTTTGGAATTTCACAAAATATCACAGGTAACTGTCTCTGGACAATGTCAGCACATCCTTTCGTTCAACTTTGCCGCTGCTGTGGTCGGAACTTTTGCATATCGGTCACATTGTCCTCGAGGCGGCACGTGTCCTGCCCTCCCTGCGAATCGTATTTTCCCGGAGTCCTCTAACATCCTTCCATTCTCGCCCATCCCTGCTTGTGTGTATGCGTAAGGGCTTCGATTGCAGTTCATAATACGGCTGTGCCTGCAAGCATTTATTTGCCTTAGTTAGATTTTGTTTGTTGTGAAAATTTCATAAATATTTACGTGCTGTCAGCTGCAGTTTCACTTATTGTTTATGGCCCCTTTAATACCTAACTGAATAAAAATCCCATTCGTGTGTGACGTGTGCAAGTGTGCGTTGAAAGGAGATTTTCCTCTGCATTAGGGCACTTAATTACGACTCCCTGCTGGGGCAACAGAGCGTATACGCAATATATACAATCATTTCGTCGTGTGACTTCCGTGATATCTGGGCCAAAAGGATTAATGAATATCGACAGATGTCCGAAGGGAATTATTTTCATTTCGATTAAAGCTGCTTAAAAGCGTCTTTACTCGTATTTTATATTTCGAAATGCCATTTGTTTAACTTTGCGCATTTACTTAAGCTGCAAATGAAAATGCAAGCCTTGCATTTCCCATGGTGATTATGAATTTTCTTTAGACAGATATTTTTATTCAGCCTTGTGAAAAATTACGATTTATGTAAGGCCTCCTGTGAAGTCCTTGGCAATTATAATCCTTATGCTGTAGTCATAATCTTCAGCAAAACCCTGATCAAAGAGTTGCGACCTTATTTTCTTTTTTAAAAGTACAGCTTTTCATTACTGAAACCCTAATTACTAATCCAATAAATGGAAAATATATGTTTAATGCCAGTTTTCAGATGCCAACTTAGACTAAAAGCTCACGAATTTTGGCTTAGATACATACGCTGGCGTATTAAAAATTTGGCGACTTAGAGTAGGCTTCTGGGTTAGAAAATTCGAACCTATCAAGAGCCAAAACGACTGCCCAACTTTTATGGCTTAACGAAACTTAAGTGCTGGCCAAAAGGGGGAAAATCAAATTTTTAAATCAAATGAGAGCCAGCAAAATGCATTCCAAATGCAAATAGCACATCGAGCAACTTTGATTTGAGTTTCAATGCAGACCAAGGCGCATAAGTTCCCGCCCGTTGAATATGCCGAATGATTATGTCTGTCTGCCTGAACTGAAGTAGATTAAAGTCACCCAAAAGCCACTCGAAGCCAACTGGAGGGCTTGGGCGAGCTGAGTGAGTGAATAAAGTCGGATGGGCACTAGAAAAGTTTTTAAAGTTTGTGCGCAACAATGAGATCCTTGTGCTGCAGCTGCTTTGCTCCTTTTCCTGCTGCTGCACCTTTTATCCTGATTTTGCAGTCAAAGTTGCTTGGCAACATTACGCCAATTCAATTGATTTGCTCTTCGAGCGCAGTGCGTTTTTAAGCGCAGTGCAAATAATGCAATGCGCTCTGAAAAGTTGAATGGTTACAGAGTAATCCAGGCCTTAATTAAACTGATTGAATCTCGCTTTTGCCGTTGCCGGGTGCAGTTTTCTATTTTTTCATTAGACTAACAGCTGTGTTTTCCAGCGAAATGAATCCAGGCTAAGTAT